CACCCGCGCCCACCCTCCGCCATGGCTCCCAGCCCGCTGCCCTGGCTGCTGCGCCTGGCCGCGCTGTGCCATCTGACCGCGCTGCTGGCTGGTGAGTGAGGCCTGGGGCAGGGGCCAGGAGGGGAGCGGGCCGGACCCCGCGCCGGGGACCCCGGCCCCGACACCCTCGACACCGCCACCCCCACGCCCGACACCAGGGACCCCCCAGCCCCGACATCGGGGACCCCCCCACGCCCGACACCAGGGACCCTCCAGCCCCGACATCGGGGACCCCAGGCCTGACACCAAGGACCTCACAGCCCCGACACCGCCACCCCCCACGCCCGACACCAGGGACCCCCCCCAGGCCCGACACCAGGGACCGCCCAGGCCCGACATCGGGGACCCCCCACGCCCGACACCGGGGACCCCCCCAGCCCCGACACCGCCACCCCCCACGCCCGACACCAGGAACCCCCAGGCCTGACACCAGGGACCCCCCAGGCCCGACCTGGGGACCCCAGACCTCACACGGGGCTGGGGGGGCGCTGCTGGGGAAGGGGAAGGACTGCGTGGGGTGCAGCACCGCTCACCTTGGGGAGATTTCCCCTCCAGCCGCTGCCCTGCGGCGGCCTGAGAGCCGGGTGGCTGCAGGACAGCCGGCCGCGGGCAGGGGAGGTGTGAGGGGCGCGGGGCGCGGGGCTGCGGATGTGGAGAGGCTGGGGGGCCTGGGAGGCGCTCCGTGGGGAGGAGGTGGGAGACCCTGGCCACAGCGGGCTGGGTCTTCCCGCCAGGGTCGCCTTGGCTCCAGCCCCGGGGGCGCTGAGGACTCTCTCCTGTCCTGGATGTCAAGGCTCCCAGGAGAAGGGGAGTCAGGACTCCTGAAGGTCAAGGTCACTGCAGTTTGGGATGGGGCTTGTCATGGCTGCGCTGGTCTGCACTGGTCGGGTCTCTGCCATCTCCTCCTCCTCCCGTGCCAGTGTAGGGAAGGCTTTCATCTATAGTCACTTGCTTTCTGTAGGTGAGGACCTGGTAGAGCAAGGTGTAGCCATCTCTGGAAACCCAGAGAGGTTTAGACACAGGCCTGAAAAGGCACAGCTAACCCGTAGACCAGGAGAGGTCTTGAAGCAGGGGAGAGCAAGGCTTCTCTGTTGTTACCATTTCTGTGGGACCTCCCCCCCCCCCACCACTGGGGCAGCTCATCCAGGAGATGGATGGATGCTCAGAGAAGGTGGCACTTTGCCTGAGCATGCACAGCCAGTCTAGGAGAATGAGAACAAGTCCCAGACTCCAGGATATCTCCATGGGAGCAAAAGGGAGTGGGAGGAGGTGGGGAGTGAGGGGTAGGGGTTGGAAGCAAACTGCTGCTTGGGCCCCAATACCTGAGCTTGAGCCCTGAGGCTTGAGGTGTTTGGGGACAGTGAGCACTGGGAAATGGGTGTGGGTGTCAAATTGAGAGTGCTTTGCCAGTACCTTGCTGTGGTGTCCCTGAGCAGCTGTGTGTCCCTCTCTGGTCCCACATACTGTGTGGGACATATGTACAGCTACTGCCTGTCTGGTGAGGAGGCTACTGTGTCTATGAGGGTAATTGGGGGACAGAGGAGGATTCTAGTTTAGGGTGTCTTCAAGCCTGAGCCCCTCAGATTCCTGTCGTGGTTTTGCTGAGAGACAGAGCATCATGCCAACCTTCCTGAGCCTCAGTTTCTTCTCCAGCAAAACCAGACATCTTGCCAGGTCCTGTCTGAGCTCCTCCCCGCGGGGGGCCCCAGCTTCAAGGCCGCTGCGTCAGCCCCAAATGTGGGTCTGCAGAGCTGTGTCAGGCAGCCGCTCCGCGCTTTATATAACAAACCTGCGGATACAAGTCAAAGCAGGGAATTTTTCTCCCCAGCACTGACGCATTCACTCCCACTCAAGTCCCGGCAAGAAAAAGAAAAGAAAAAATCTGTTCTCAGCTGTTAGAGCCTTCGCCACGGTGGGGGAGGAGGGGGTAGGAGAGGATACATTTAGATGTCAGTTTGCAGGCCCCCATCCAATGTCAATAAGCTGTCCGCTGTTTCTCTGTTGCTTAAGGTTTCTGTGTCACAACGCATTTCCATAATGCATTCTGCCCATCCATTTGGTGATGATGTGTTAGATGACTGCTAAGTGACAAGCACACCTCAGGGGGCCAGGGCCATCCCCCAGGGAATGAAGGGGAGAAAGGTCCTGGCTCTTGAGATGCTGAAATTCCAGAGGAGAAGAGGGACACTAGTCAGTGAAGCCTTGGGTCCTTAGAAGAGAAGATCATCAAAAGAGTGAAGGGGGAGAGTGGGGAGGGGAGAGGGGAGAGGAGGAGGCCAGAGCGGGTCCTCAGTGGGTAACTTTGACCCTCCTATTTGACCGTTTTTGGAGACATTTTTGGTTCTTCCAAAGCTCTCACTGTTTGCAGTTCGGAGGTACTCCTGGTATCTAGTGGGTAGAGCCAGACACTGCTAAACACGATGCAGAGTCTCCAAACCCAGTGGCTCTCATCCTCTTAGCTGTCCTAGGGCCAGCCTACAGAGCACATCAGCAAGCCTTGCCTTATCTCTTACATTGCCTCCTCTCTGGTCTCTCCTTCATGACTCCCACCCCTACCCCTGGATGATTGTAGTATGTTCAAAAATGTGCTGTTTCTGCCAGGTATCTGTGGCAATGCTGGTATCTCTAGGTCCTGGGTGGAAACAGTTCTGCCACTAGTAGCTGTGTGGCCTAGAACAAGTGGCTTCACTTCTCTGATTCTTAGCTTATGCACCCCCTCCCGACAAATAAAAGAGATAACAATACTCCTTTTGCAGAGCAATTGGGAATGTATAAGAGCAGATGTGCATGTGATGAACACAGGGCTCGATGCAAGTAGGTGTACCTCCGCCCCCAAGCTCTAAGCCTTGCTTGGTGTGTTTTACCTGCCTGTAGGGCTGGGAGCCTACAGAGCGCAGAGACAGGCCTTGTTCATGTCCCTGGGCCTCACAGCACCCAGCACAGGGCCGGGCCAGAAGCAGGAAGCAGCGTGTGGCTGACTGGATGAAGGGCAGTCCTGGCATTTATGGGGACTGAGGTGCTTGCTATCAACCTAGCCCCAGCACCTGCTCAGGAAGAGATCAGCGTTTGAGACAAGAGTCTGTGTGGACTGGGAAGTATTTCAGCATGTGCTCATGAGCCATGATAGATGGATGGATGGATGGATGGATGGATGGATGGATGGATGGGTGGGTGGATGGATGGATGGATGGGTGGGTGGGTGGAACAACGATGCACGTTCTTTACGGTTATCTTAACCTTCGTGTGCTCCACGGGAGGGTCGCTCCCTTCCCACCACCTCCGGGTGGGGGGGGGGG